ATGACTACCACTTCAGTCTTGAGCTCTGTAAGTCTTTCCATCAGCCGATGCAGAATGGGGACGGCTGGTGATTCCGTTGGAGTGTAAAAAAGAAGGCCACCAACCGTCTGAATGAGTTTGTCCAATAAGTCGGACCTTAGTTCGGACAGGGGACGGTTAATGGCCTCAGTGAACACAGTCTGGGCCTCCGCTGGAACCGGAACAGTCGATAGGACAGCTAAGTCCGAAGGCCCCTGCAAGTCCTACAATGTCAATACATATTCCAAGGGAGTTGCAAATTTGTTCGGAGAAAATATGTGGTACCTCTGGGCGGACTGCTGTCAGTGAGGGGGGCAGCAATGAGGTCGGTCGAGTTGGGCAGACAGCTGGTATAATAGCAGCCGACTCGTCGGCTGCTGCGAATGGTCGCTGAGGTGCCGACCTGGGTCCCTATAGAAAGTAGTATTGGAAACAGTTAGTGTTTTTCGAAAGAAAAGTTATGACCTGGATTGGTTTAATCTTACCAAATTCACAGAAGTCTCCGAATCGGATGAAGACATTTCTCCCATTTCTGGAGGTTGGGCTGCCACGGGTGGTTCTTCTGCCTGCCATTCGATGGCTAGAGGGAGTGCCGCTGCTGGTAGGGCGGCTGCAGGTTGGACGGCTACCTCTAGAGCCACTGCAGCCAGGATCTCTGGGGCACCTTCGATTTCGGGATCAGCAGCATCAGGGATGTCGTTTTGAAGGTCAGTTTCGGCGAGGGCGGCTGGTTCTTCCTTTGATATAGATGAGTCTGATGCCATGTATGGCGGCCGACCCATCTGGGAAGTAGTCCCCTCGCTGTCAGAAGAGACCCCTGCTGCTGATGGGATGGGTGAAGGTGTCTGTGGAAAAATCATGAAGATGTTTGTTGTTAACTATATCAAGGTTGATCATTAGAATACTAAGGAGTGCTGGTGAGAGAACTTACTGGTTCTGTAGGTACTGCTGGTAAAGATTGTCTCCTGGTCGGGGGCCTGGCCCGACCACTCCTCGGTGCGGGAGGAAGAGTTTGCCTCCGCGTCGGGTCCTCCGCCCGATTGCTCATTGGCAAATTGGTCTGGACCAAAGGCCCGATTGAATGGTCGGTTGGTGCTGGCGTCGGTTGCTTGGTCGGTGTCACCAAGGTCGGTTCTGGGGAATGAAATGAGTAGAATCAAAGTTACGATTTAGTGAATTGGTTCACGGTGTTAAGAAACATTACCAATTCGGGGTCGGGTCCTTGCTGACGTCCTATTTATTCCAAGGTCTGCTAGTGTTTGTTGGTCGGTCTCCGAGGTCGGGGGTGTTTGCAATTGGGAAGTTTTTCTTTTGCGCGTGGGACCACCAGATCCGATTCCCGGGGCGGTTGTATGTTTTTGGGTGCTAGTATGTATCGCCGTCCCTAGAACCAGTCCTTGGGGAGGGAGGAGGACGTTCAGCAACCGACTCTCATCAGGGGATATCAGGGACCATACGACCGACCACCATTCATTGAAAGTATCTACGATCTCAGGCTTGTATTGCGAAGAAGGAAGTTTATCAGGAGTGTTGCAGTAACTGGTGCAGTTGCTAAGGGAGTTTTTCAAGAGGGTAGTGATTTATGAACTTCCAAACATTGATTGCTAAATGGCGTTTGAAAGTCCCTTGGCGGCGGGCAAGTTGTTACGTACGAAATTTAGAATTAGGTTAAAAGCCCAAGGTAAAAAGAAGAATGGGCCTGACAATAGGGTTGATTGAACTGGCTGAAGGACACCGTGAGGAAATCAAGGAAAATAAATTTATTTATTTATTTCTAAGGAAAATACAGGACGGAAGGACCTCAGGTCGGTAGGTCCTCAGGACGGAAAGACCTCAGGTCGGAAGGTTTTCAGGTCGGGAGGTCCGCCAGACGGGAAGACCTCAAGTCGGAAGGTCTTCAGGTCGGGAGGCCCTCAAGATGAAAGACCTCAAGTCGGAAGGTCTTCAGGTCGGGAGGTCCGCAAGACGGAAAGACCTCAAGTCGGAAGGTCTTCAGGTCGGGAGGTCCGCAAGACGGAAAGACCTCAAGTCGGAAGGTTTTCAAGTCGGGAGATCCTCGAGACAGAAAGTCGTTGAGATGGGATATCCGCAGGTCGGGTAAACTGTAGGTCGGATAGAAGGAGGAGTCGGACAAACACGGAGGCCTTTGATCAAATATAGGGGGCGGTTGATATGGAGGTCGGCCCAAGTGGGGTCGGGCGAAGAAGTAGGTCGGACGAAGGACGAAGTCGGGCCAAAAGAGCGGAAGGTCTGTAGTTGGCTCAAGGAGTGAAATATAGGGATTTTTGGTCTGCTGGGGACACGTGTCAGCATAAGAAAGGTTGGAAGACGGTTGAGAAGGAGACGTTGTAACCGTTCGGGTGACGGTTTTCAGTACGGTTTCCCAGGGAATATTTAAGGATTTGGATCATCATTTGGCAAGGCATCTTCAATCAACTTCAACAAAGCAAAGTCAGATTTGGGGATCACCACTTTAAATTTCAGTCTTTTATTTTCCAGTTTATTTTCTGTACCATACAGTGTTTAGAGATTCCTAATCTCAGGCACTAATTAATCAAGTTTAAGGATATTTTCTATATCTTTGAATTTTACTTTATTTTTGTTGAAAAAATACATCAACAACAATATTTACCAATATACATTCCAACAGGATTCCCCTGCCTTATAAGGGGTGGACAACCAATTGGTTTTAAATTGGAACCCCAAATCCCTGTCTTAACATGGTATCAGAGTCATGATGCCATATTGGGTTTGGAGGGAGTATACAAATTTTATTATTTATTAATTTTTATTTTTAAAAATATCAAATCAAAGTACTTATTTTTTATTTATATTATACTAAAAATTAATTTTACCTTCAAAATATAATATCAAAACTTATTTATATCATATTATATAACTATTGCAATTTAAATTTCCTACTATTAAACTCCCGACTCAAAATCCAAACCCTCGCATCCTTAACAGTTGAGTATATTTAAACATACTTGTTTATTAAAAAAGAGAAGTAACAAATTTTAAGTATGTTTTACTCACTCCGTCTCAATACAATAGTCTTGTTTACAATTTTTATTCGTCCCAAAACAATAGTCTCATTTCTATAAATAATCATATCACCATAAAACTATCCCTATTTTTTTCATTATTATTACACAATTGCCACAACTTTTTACACTAATATACTCACAAGGACAAAAAAATCATTTATTCTTACTTTTTACCGACTACCAATATAATATCAATATTCTTTAAATCCCGTGTTCAACACAATAAAACTATACTTTTAGACAGAGGGAATAATTGATTTAAAATTAGAAAAAATTTGGGAGTATTAGCGCCAATAAAAATATAATGGAGATGTTACCCAAATGCATCTTTGATCTTTTGTAATTGGTTGTGTATCAAAAATTTAGAATTTGTTTGGTTGTAATTTGAAATTGATTTGAGATAGAGTGTTGATTTGAATTTTTGTTTAAATAATATTTCAATGTGATATGTTATAAGAAAATAATACTCACTCAGTCCCATAAATACTGTCCACATTACTATATACTCGAGATTTTAAGAAAAATATAATTGGTGAATAATTAAAAAATATATTAATAAAAATAATTATTATATAATACAAATAATTATATATTAAGATTAAAATAACTAAATAATTTAATTAAAAGTAAAAACAATTATAAATTATAAAATTTAAAATATATAATTTTTTTTTTAAAATAATAAAGAAATGAAAAAATTGAATATTTTATATGAAACAGATGAAATATATTTTTATTGAGAATAATAAATAATATTTCATCTTTCTTGTAAAAATATGTTTATTTTATGATTTTAGTATATTTATCAAAAGTATATTCATACTATATTTAATTAAACAAAATACATTTTTCTTTAAATTTACATATTACTATTTTATATATTTATACAAGTATCATAGTTGATAGATCCCACATATTTTTTTTTTTCACCAATTCTATAAAATTCAAATTACATTCCTAAAAAAAAAAAAATATTTTTTTTATCCATTTTATATATATTTACTTTTGATACATCATTTTAAAAATAATATTTGATTTTTCATTTTTTTTGGTTGAAAAAGTAATTTTCCTAGCGGTTTGTCAAGTAATAAAAGTGAATAAAACTGACTACTTCAATTTTAGTAAATAGTTAAAAATAATATAAAAATAATATTACAAAAATAAAATAAAAATATTTGTAAAATATAGTAAAATTTTTAAAAAAGAAATATTTATTTTACAGTACTCCCTTCGTCTCATATTCCGTGTCTTGCTACACTACTGTAGACATTGTATTTTAGGAGGGGTATAATTAGTAGATAATTAAAAATGTATTAGTCAAAATAATTATCCTATAATATAAATAATTATAAATTAAAATTAAGATAACTAATTAATTTAATTAAAATTAAAAAAAAATAAATTAAAAAGTTTAAAATGAAATTAAAATGTGTAATCAATTTTCAAAAAAGAAAATAACATGAAACGTGGAACAGAAATAAATGGCATGTGAACATGGTATGCGGGAGGATGGAGGATTAAAAAACTTAAAATAGAAATATCTTATACTACATCCGCTGTGTACAACTCTAACGGTTTCATTTATTTTTTGTGGTTGATCTTTAAATATTAATTATTATATTAGAATGTATTACAAATTAAAAAAAATTACAAAAATATTTTTATTAGTGTCTTATAATATTAATAAAAAATATTTATAAAAAAATAAAATATATAATGATATTGTTAATGTTAAGTATAATGAGAAAAATGTAACTTTAGCCGAAGGGAAGATACAAGAAGTATCTGAGTATTTAATTTCATTTTGAAATTATTAATCAAACACTCGTTCAAACAGATGAATTCAATGGTCAACGATTTTTCAGAAGGCAAGGCAAGGGGTAGAATAGTTATTTCGCGCGGGCATACAATGATGGTCTCACGATCATTTTCATGGCTGGTAATCATGATACATAATTTCCCCCCATTCATCTAACTCGGCGTTATTCATTTGCATTGCCATTGCACATCCATTCCATCTCCTGCCAGATTTTCTCTCCGCCCGCCGCTTTATGATCGTGCTGCATTGACAAACGCCGGTAGGTCTCCCATCCGTCTCTAATTCCTGCTTTTGTTTCGTGTCTTATGGATGGTGGTAGGTTGGCGATGATTTTCGTGTATGGTAAGGGAATTGATTGGAGGTGAATGCTGTCGATTTTGTATTTCATTTTTGTTTTTATTTTTAATCTGTATTCGCTGATTCTCGATTCATTATTGGAATGCGCGTGTTTATCGGTTTTGTGCTTAATGGAAATACGGTATCGATTTTGGATTTGTCGATGGCGGTTAGGTTAGGTTAGGTTTAGGGCTTTTGTTGTGTTTACTCATCTGGTTTTATATAAAAATCGGAAGCATATGCAATTTTGGTGAATGTGGCAGAGAATCGGAATTGTGCGTGAATTTGTTGACATAGATTTGGCTTCGATTATGAGTGATTGCTTGTGAATTGTGACTTCTCCTTTTTTCGTGTGGTTGATTTTGATCGATTCGATCGTTTATTGAGGATGGATTTCACATGAACAGGATCTATTATTTGCCTGCTAGGCTAATGAAAGAGAGGCAGTGAATCTGAAATTCGTCTGGGGATTTGACTGTGATTCCTGGAGATAAAAAATTTGCTTCCATGGACACAAAGATGAAGAAGCCCTGTGGATTCACCTCTCTCTTGTCATCAGCTGTTTGCGAATGGTTCTTAATGTTCTTGCTGTTTGTCGATGCAACACTGTCATATTTGCTCACAAAATTTGCTCAGTATTGTGAACTGAAAACGCCTTGTCTGTTATGCACGAGGCTCGACTACTGTCTCGGGAAGAAGAAGCCTGGATTTTATTGGAATCTATTATGCAGCAGCCATAGAGACGAGATTTCTATGTTAGTATCTTGCTCGGTCCATGGAAAATTCGCCGATGCTAATGAGATGTGCGAAGAATGTCTCGCGCCGCATCTTAAACAGGATAAATTCAGTTGCGAATCCTATAGGTTGCTCGTAGGCAAGTCATTGCTGGATGTCGACAAATCTGTTTTACAGTACCTGATGGCGAATAAGAACGTGCAGATTGGCTGCCGGGAGCGTAGGATCTGTTCTTGCTGCGGAAAGTCATGGAAGGCGAAAACAAATGCTGAAAGATTGCTTGAATTTAATTCGGTTGCTAATGTCGCGGCTAAGGCTAATCTCAAGCCTCCTCTGCCTCGCGTGCCAGGTCGCAGCCGTTTCAGTCGTAGAGAAAGCTTGAAGAGATTAAGGAATAAGGTCTCTGAGAAGTCGTTGACGGCTGGAAACAATGGCGCCGAGAGATTTTCTCGATTGGGCCATGGGAAGAGGAAAAGTTCATACCATTCTGATACAGAGGCTTTACTCTCTGAGGATGAAGGGGATGGAAGAATTCGCCATTGCGAAACCCATAGCGAACCGGATTATGATGCTCAAGGCGACGTAAGTGGTCTGCAAACTCCCGTTGTCGATGAATCTGCTTTCGAGGAGTCGACTCATCAAGATTGTGGTGCAAGAGCTCTTAATCTTGAACAAAATCATTTGCTTGATTTAAGCGCGTGCAAGAAATTAAACGCTTTGAAGCCTGGTGCCGTAAAGAAGATCGGTTGTAGAGATAGAGACCGTAGTTCGGATAAATCTTACAGCAAGCGCAGTTCATCTTCGGAGCTAATATCATTAAACGGCGGTAATAAAAAACCCGATCTTGCAGGAGATTTTCGTGCTGTGTCGAAAGAGGCTTCTCCACCGAATGGTTCTCATCCTCAGTTGCCGTCTTTAAGTTATTATATCATGTCTCGATTCTTGGAGTGTTTTTCGTCGTTCTAACTTGTTCGATTTCTCTGTTACAGCGAATGCTGCTGCGGGAGCTCTACGCAGCTCTCATTTGTTGGAGACGAAGAATAATACGCATCGATCCGATGCTTTGATTCAGAGCGTCGAAGCGACAGAATCATCGAATAAACAAGAATCGATTGCAGTAGAAGATTCTAGTTCTCAGGAGCTTCCAGTTTCAGAAATATCGAAGAAGACGACGACGGACTCAAGCGACGAAGCTTCGGATGGGATTGGCGCAATCGAAGGTGACGGAGACGGAACCCTCGAGAAACTGAAATCTCAAATCGAGCTCGATCAAAGCTACATAAACTCGCTACTCCGGGAGCTTGACGAAGAAAGAAATGCTTCCGCCATTGCCGCTAACCAGGCCATGGCGATGATCACGAGATTGCAGGAGGAGAAGGCGACGCTTCACATGGAGGCGTTGCAGTACCTACGAATGATGGACGAGCAAGCTGAGTACGATATGGAGGCGCTGGCGAAGGCCAACGATCTCCTCGCCGAAAAGGAGAAGGAATTACAGGACATGGAGTACGAGCTCGATTTCTATCGAGAATACGGCGACGAAGATCAAGCCCCCGGTGCTTCGAAAAACGCTAAAACCGTTGCGAAATCCAACGGAAACGGCGCCCTCATCAACGGCGCTGTTTCTTCCCTCGACGAATCGAAAGCCTACATTTCGGTATCTCTCAAAAAGCTCGAGAAGAAGCTCCAGCAGGTCTACATTAGCGGGAAGTTGGAGGAGACGTTCAACGGAGTAAGCAACGACAAGGTTAAAGTCGAGGCAAACGGGCATCTTCATGAAAAGGTAACATCGAATCAACGGGATATGGACTATGCGAATTTGTCGCAGGAAATCACGGTGCTTCGCGGGAGATTGGAAGCGGTCGAGACCGACTGCAATTTCCTCAAAGCTACGGCAGACTTGCTCCGACACGACAAAGATGGATTGCGATTTCTCCATGACGTATCGCAACAACTACAGGAGCTGCGTAAGATCGAATTCAGCAAGAGATGAACGAAAAACCGGCCTCTGGATCTGCTGCGCCGATGATCATCGACATTGTAGAAGTAAGGTGTGCTCGATCTCTCGACTTTACATTATACGGTTATTTTCTTCCTCGAAGCATGAATAGGGCTATCGCTACGCTGAATCAATATATTTAGCATGGTGATAATAACAATTCAAATATAGCCGAGGGCGACAGCTACAGTGTTGAATTTCAGCATTGTACTGATAGCACACCGCTGTACATACAAATACAACACATGAACTACCAACACATGCTATAGTCTTATACATCACAAACATTAATTGATCTCAGCACACATATACTGTTATACAACACACTTGTAATTATGAACAACACAAATACAATAAATGACCTAACAACACATGCTATAATCTTATACAACACAAACAATAGTTGATTTTAGCACATCGCATATTGTTATATAACACATTTATAATTATGAACCGACAACACCTGTCTTTATTATACACACGCATGTTGTGTATAATAAGATTGTGTGTTGTGGTATATATTACGGTTGTTGATTGAAAAAATGTTGTGTATAATAAAGACATGTGTTGTTGGTATATATCACGGGTCAGTATGGTGCTGATTTTTACAATTTAGCACCCTAACTATTCCTATAGCCCGGTTATATATAATAAATAAGGCGGTAGCTACAGTGCTTAATTCAGCACTATGTAGAACAATACGCAATTTACTGACAAACATCACACGGTATTATTAATTGACAATACATCAAAACATAACGCAACACACGTTGTAATTATGACTAACAACACATACTTTTACTAGAAATAACACATACTGTATGTAATAAAAACATGTGTTGCTTCTATATATTTTACGCGTGCACAGTGTTTATGTTAATATAATATAAATGCAGTATATTAACTGACAACAACTATATGTTGTGTATATGATTATAATGTGTTGATCGTGGCTAATCAGAGTCCTGTACTAAATAACCTCAGTCAACACCATAATCAGTACCCACGAATATACTACACATAAATGAAGTAAATTAGATCTGTTCGACATGTCAAATTTTAGCTAAAAATATTAAACACTTTCGAAATGATTTGTTTCGCGGCGACGCATCTGTCGAGCTGAATATTATTTCTTTCGCGGCATCTCTTGATATATATTGACCAATCTACATTGTGATTTTCTTAGGAGCTCGCGGAGATTAGATGATCGATATGTAGCCGTTGAACGTCGACGACTGTAATTACTAGAAGAAGGATGATTGACAGACAGAGAGTACTTCTCCCTCTCCTCCATAAAATTTTGAATTTGTTTTGTCAGATGAGTAGAAGATAAAATTGGTTCGTTGTTCGATTCTACTTTCAAATTAGAGGTTTCTTCTCTACAAGAAAATTTCAGGTTTGATTCTCTACACTTTCATTAACAAGCTCTGCAATGTATATTATATATATATATATATGTATGTATGTATGTATGTATATGGTGATAATGTAACTTTTTAAAGCATAGCTGTTGATGATACAAAGAGGATATTGTTCTTAGTTACATATAGATCCTTGAGTTCATCGTGTTTTTTTTTTTTTACTTATTATTTTCAGTTTTTATGTGGTATTTTGTTACATATTCAGTTATTTTGAGTTTGTTTTACGCTGCAATATATAAACTCCTTAATTTAATTATCAATAACGCAAGCTTTAAAGTTTCCACAAAATATTTTAACATGGAATCAGAACTTTTTTTTTTTTTTTTTTTCGGATAAACATAGTCTACTAAAACATAGGAAAGATTGTGGTGTTTGTTTGTTGTCTTAAATCGTGTAAACCTGGTGGTAGATTCAGTGAAATATTTTTGAACTTAAATTCCCCAAATGTAAATTTTTATGCTGAATCGAATCAACCAATCATGTATGTTATTTGTGTATGTTTTTTTCACCGAAGCTAATCACGCTGTAAAACTGTGTGTATGTTCTTTGTGCCCGGTGATCCGTATCCAAGACATATACTATAAAAGCATAGCGTTATTTATTTTTCATATATCCACCATATTTATTTATATTCTTTTTAATGTATATGTTTATTTATAATAAATAATTCTTACACGTTCTTTAATTTTAAATCTTTTCGTTTAATTTATCTTATCTAATATCTATACTGTTGGACTGGCTAACTCAACACTAGTATGATATTGTCTGTTTTGGATTAAATCCGTACGAAATTATTTTTGAATTTTCTCCAAAAGGCCTCATATTGTATGAAATTTTCTCGACTTCCAATGTGTAATTTGGATTTGCACCTCAATGTATAGGTCCAATCAATTCAAAATTTTATCCCATATTTACTCGTATACTCCCTCCGTCCCATATCTATATATCTATTTACTTTTTGTACGGAGTTTTAGAAATATTAGTATTATATTGGGATAAAGTAGAAATAAAGATAAAAAGACTAAGATAAATGACATTTGTGTAATATATTGTAAATTGAAGGGTATTTGTAATATTAGATAGATAGTACAATTACTTTTAAAAAAAAAAAAAAAGAAATGAATACTTTGTTATAGACCAAAATAAAAAAAAAATAGATAGAGGAAGTATTTCTTAATATACCTAATTTCATGTAATGATAAACCATTATAATAATATTAATTAATATCTGTGTCCAATTTTTATGAAGATATATTTTTTTATATGAATAGAGGAAATACGATATATTAATTATGAGTATTTACTATAAAATTAATTTATTAAAAATTTAAAAGGAAAAAACAATGAAATACATTTCTTGAAAATTTTCTTACGAGTCCATTGACACGACACGCAAATAAATGACCCACGTGTTTATGTTTAGAATTCAACTTTTGTGAACAAGAATTTTCAAAGTAGCTTGCTTGTAGTTGTAGTGAAAAAGAAAATTACAATCAATTCTTCAAAAGTCTAAAAAAAAAATAAAAAATAAAAAAAAAATTCAAAATTAGCCACCGCCCACCCCACGTGGAAACATCTATGGATGTGTATCACATTATACTCCCTCCGTCCCAAGCTTCTCATTTTTTTATTTTCGTCCGTCCCAAAATAAGATTATTATTTCCTAATTTAGTAGTTGTACTACCTACCTAATATAATAAATACCTTTTCAACTTATACTATATTATACAAATATCGTTACTTTTATATTACATAATACTAATAGAGGTATTTTCGTCTTTTTCACTACAATCTATTATAATACTAATATTAAAAAATCTACGTGGAAAAAGTAAACGACGTTGCACCGGAACGGAGGGAGTATTATACTCTCTACATCCCATAATTATGTATCCGTTTGTTTTTTGTACAAAATTTTAGAAATATTAGTATTATATTGAGATGCAGTAGAAATAAAGTAGAAATAACATAAATAACTTTATTAGTATTGTGTGATATAAAAGTAATGACATTTGTGTAATATATGGTAAATTATAAGAGTATTTGTAATGTTAGGTAGATAATACAATTACTTAAAAAAAAAGAAATTGATATTTTGTTATGAGACGGACTAAAATAAAAAAATGAATAATTTGTTATGGGACGAAGGGAATAATATTATTTTGGTTACTAAATAGTACTCTCCTTTCATTCTTTAACAATTTATCAATTTTCTTTATTTTGATCCGTCTTATAATAAAGTATCAAATCTCTTTTTTAATAATTATATTATTTATCTAACATTACAAATATTCTTTTAATTTACAATATATTATAGAAATGTCATTACTTTTATATCATACAATATTAATAAGGGTACTTTAGTCTTTTTACTTTTATTTCTGCTGTATCCCAATATAGTACTAATATTTCTAAAACTTCATGTAAAAAACAAATTAATATATATATATATATATGAGACGGAGATAGTATAATGATAAATGGCAAATAATTCATGATACTCCTTTTGTCAAATTTGAAAATATGTATTTACTGTTTTACGTGAAATTTAAAAGTAGTAGTATATTAATTGTAACAAGTGATTAAAAATAGTATAAGTATAATTTTATTTTTGTTTTTTTTGGTACAAAGGTAATAATATAATGGTAAAGTAGAAATTTGAAAAAAAAAAAAGGTGAAATTTATAGTTACTAAAAAAAAATGATTTATTTATGAATGAACAATTCAAAATAGAAATATATATATTAAGTGAACGAAAAGAATATAATAATAGATAATGAAAGTGTTTGGCAAATAGCTTTTTGAAGAGCTTTTAGCTTATTGAATAGCTTTTAGCTATTTGACCAGTCAAAAAGCTAATTTAGGTGTTTGGTAAATTAGTTTTTTGGAATAACTTTTTGGATTCAAAAAACTAATTTATGAAAAGCTAACTTACCCAGCGTTTTGAAATAGTTTTTTTTGTAAAAATTTTTTTATTCCTTATATGCCCTTAAAATTTTATTATAAATGTTACACAAATAAATATATTTTGATTATTTATTAATTATATTATAGTTTTACTTTTATATATTTAAAATAATTAATTTTTATATAAAAATTATTTTAATTGTAAAATATATAAATTTATTAAAATCAACATAAAATAAAATAATAAATATAAATATTAATAATTTATTTTTTAATTAAAATTACATTATATAAATTTTATATTAAAAATAAATTAAATTTATTGAAAATTATAAATATAATGAACTAATCGATAACTAACATAATAAATATATACACGAAAAATTTATTATTTTATATTTTACATCATTTTCAATAAAAAAAACTATTTATATATTTTAATAAAAATATATTATTTTTTAAATTTAACTGTAATAAAAATAAATATTGTTATAACACTTTTACAATTTTCAAGAACTAATAACAAAATTTTTTGAACATTCTAAACTCAAAAAAACATAATTGAATATATTAGAAACAAGAATAAAATAGAAATATCCTCAATTGTCATTTTACGTATAAATAACTAATATCAAACTATTGTTTTACCAAATATTTTAATATAAACAGCTAATCAAATCAGCTAGTCAAACCAGCTAATTGAATCAGCTAACAGCTATCAAATCAGCTAATAGCTATCAGCTAATGCCAAACACGCCCAATATCTTTGTTTGCTCTATATAGTTTGCTTAGTACAATTTGTCTTATCGAATTTAATTTACAAATTATTAAATCGGCTAGAAGTTTATCCATAGCGTCGATTCCTACCTAATTTTTTTTTTTTTTTTTAAAAAAAAACAATAGGCAATATATGATGAAATATATGCATTTTTTGACAGGAGGAGCTGCGGATTCTATGTCATTAAAAAATAAAAAAATAATAAAAAGGATAAGAACACTGTAAAATAATGGACAGGGTTGAAGATCCAAAAAGTCAAAATCACGATAAGACAGTTGCTTTTGTGTCCTTACCAACTACTACAAGCTCCCGGATCCCCAACTCCCGGATGACTCCAGAATCCAATAAACGCACATTGAAACCACAGGTCCCGGACCCCCTTAATTGAAAGCACACATCATCGTCGTCTTTATCCTCCGCAATTCGATGATAATAATAAAAAAAAACCATATAAAAAATATAAAAATAATAAATATATATAGCATGTTAATTTTTTATAAAAAAATATGCGGAAAAAAAACATAATAACACATACTAATATATAAAATTACACTATATATATATTAAAAAATATGATAACAAATACTCCATCCGTCCCAAATATCATGTCTGCTACACTGTAAATACGGTATTTTTGAAGGGGTATAATTAGTAG